TATATCATTATGTTATCAAATTAATTTGTCAAGGGTTTCGCCAATTCGTCATATATTTCGTCAATTAGTCATATATTCGTCAATTCGTCATAGTTTTCGTCAATCGTCAGGGGTTTCGTCAATTGTAGAGGTTTCGTCATGACGAAACCATGACGAAACCATTCGTCATCGCAAAAATAATTTCGTCCGGCATCATTATGCAGGGTACTTGGCGACGCCAATGGTGCACCAATACTGGTGGTGCACCTGGCGCATCAAGCACAGATATGGTGCAGAGGTGGCGAGCCAATCATATTTAGGTTTATTTCATATTAGACTGTCCCGAAAATTTCCAAACACAAATATAAGCATGGCCGAGCTAAAGAGTATAATGCCCGATAATACCCGAAACAGAAATATAATGTTCCTACTAGCGACAATATCTATCTATCTATATTATTAAAAAAATTAGATTGTTACACAGAATCGGACATTGCATATTCGTGTAACATTCGTGCGGTAACGGGTAAATTTTTCATATCCCGTGCCGAAATTTATCCGAATTTTGCAAAAACTTTTGATTTCCGTTAGTAAGACTCCATATAGGTAGTGCTTCAGCTGCTTTCATATTTTCCAGTAACCGAATCGACAAGTTATCGTACAGAATCAATAAGTTATTGATATCAAAAACTTATCATTTCGGTCATTTTTCAAGTGTCTCAGAATTTATAGTAATGCAGATCCGACAATTTCATGCATAGTCCCGATGATCTTTTTATATAACGATCCCTATAAAAAATGGTGCACGGAATTTATGATCAAACACGGTACATAACATCACGAGAGTATACAGAACTATATGGAATATAACACGGGACAGTGCGTGGGAATACATGCCCTAGACATGTAAAAAAACGCAACAGTACACGTAATAGTGTGCTTTTTTACATGCTTTTCCGTGCAATTTCCAGTATAATTACGTATGAGCCGTTCATTATTTCGTGCACATATCATGCACATAAAAAAATTTCATGCAATTACATGTTCGTCGACTTTTCTGAATTCAATGCTTTTGGACGTGCTATATTTCGTGCTGACATGTGTGCTCATGTGTAAAAATTTCTTATAGGGGATCTTTGCAATATTCACATAACAAGTTTGTAACGTTTATTCCATACCTTATAGCCTGTCATATGATGACGGGCTCTAACACTGGTCTATACTATTAAAATTTTGATTGTCTGTCCGTTTTTTGTAATCTGATTGGACAATTTCAGGATCTACTGTTATGTAATCGACCCTCTATGCATTGACAAATAATTTGAACATCGTACGTGAATAATCTTTGATGATTGCGCAGGTTCGTCATTGTAATCACCAAATTTTCCTCCATTATAAATTGACGACAACCCTAGCATCCCCGAAAAACGTAGGGTTACACAAGATCGACAACAAATTATCCAATAATTGATCATGATTTGGTGTAACGTAGTACGATCAGGAAGATCCAAAACAAAATGCTTTTTTTAAAAAGTCGGATATTTCTCATAAGAAACCACTTTTTGCACTCTAACAAAAAAATTCCTTGCTCAATTTTACTATATTTTAAATTACTGTCTAAGCCCTAATACAAACACGGTCCTCAATATAAACGAATTTTAGAGATTTTTTCGTCCTACGTTTTTTCGGGGTTTTTCATAAATTGACTGTTACATGTACGTATGTATGAACTGTAAATCTACTATAATTTACTAAAATATATGCCAGGACTAAATGAACTTTCGATAAAATGACTGTCAGTGAAGTGATCAATGCCGATGAAACTATGCAAAAAAATAATTCGTTTTAAAAATAATGCATAGATGCTAGAACATGCCAGAAACTAGTAGCAGTGGTGCACCAAATGGCGCGCCTACGCACCAAAAAATCTGTTGGTGCACCAGTGGTGCACCATTAAAATTATACCTGCACCAACAATCCTAGTCAGGTGGTTGTCGAGAAAATTTCGCGCAACTTAAAAAATTTAACAATTACTTTGATAGGCGGATCGGGTTTTTTTAAACTTTTTTAGCAAAGCTTTCTTGACAACCACCTAGCCAAATTTGACAAAAATTTTTTATGTTAGCTTGGCAATGTATAGAATTAAAAAAAAATTTATTAAATTTGATAGGTAGGTATTAAGAAACTTCACTCAATACTTAAAAAAAATCTGTTCAGTCTATTGATAAATTGTTTTTAAAATTTTTTTTTAAACCTCTGATAAAGTTTTCTAGATGATTACATGAACAAATTAAATGAATTTTTTTATTTCAATTCTACGAATATGAGAATTGAAAAATAAAAAATTTTCATTGAATTTGGTCAGGTAGTTATAAAGAAAACTTCGTTAAAAGCTTAGTAAAAAAATTTGTTCTATCAATAAATCTATTTTTAAAACTTTGAACGAAATTTTTTTGACAACCACCTGACAAAATTCGATGAAATTTTTTTATTTCAATTCTACGAATGTATAGAATTGAAATTAAAAAAAATTTTATCGTATTTAGTTAGGTGGTTACTGAGAAAACCTAATCTAAAGCTAAAAAAACTAACCCATCTGTTAACGAAAAACTTTAGATTTGTTTACATGTATGTAATCAATTTTGATTGGTCGAGCATACGTAAGTTCATTGAATTTCGCATGATCATACTTTCTTCGCCTTTGGTTCTAGTTATATCGATTCTTTTCATCCTACGTACGTTAGAACAATGCACAGTTTAGATGGCCTGCCGGGACGGCAGTCATGAATAAGAGAAAACGGAGGGATCTGTTAGACTTGTATGCTAAAAATCGCTAAGATGTGGCCTGTTGAGACGACAGTCACATTTAAAGAAATGGCCTGTCGGGTCGGCAGTCGTAATATCAAAAAAAAATTGCGTGTCGCACGATTCTAGAAATGCCTATGTAGGTCGGAAAGGAAAACCCATATGTGTTCTTCATAACAATTTAGGTTTACAAAAATGAGAGACAAAACAAAACTGTGATTATATAGGAGGATGGTTTGTTCTTATTTTGTTAACGAAGCAGAATAAATTATAATAGTATATTATATAATATAAAATTTATAATTATTTTTAAAAATATATATTATATAAAATTTATAATTATTTTTAAAATATACAGTATAATATTATCAAGAAAATAAAGCAGTAGCAGTTTGACATGACAAAAAAATGCTTTTCTGACGATTGCAAAACATGAAATTTAGTGCAACACTTTTTCTAAAAAAAACAAAATCGTAAGTTTTTTTACCAGATAAATTTTTAGAATTTATGTAACGTAATTGAATCAGTACTTTAATGGCAAGTTATCGGGTTTGAATTATGGAACGAACATGGTGGATCAATTTTTTATTGATCGGCTTTGGGAGGGTATACCGTAACAGATTTATAATAAATAAAATTTTCCAGCTCGATCATTTCATTATGATGAGAGCGGGCCGTATAATGTTTACTGGTACTGTTGGAATTTTCTTTCCTTCGCAAGTTCCTGTGATTTAAATTGGAACTATTGGAATGGCAAATACTAAAGCGTGCATCACATTGTCTCAAAGCATCAGCTGGCAAAAATTCTAAGTTTCACTTTCATGTTCTAAACTGCCTTAATCTTCTTGAGACAGAGTCTTATCTTCCAATGAGTCCTTCAACTAGTTACAATTAGATGAAAAACAATTTTATCAACTTAAGAAAATGTCATATTTTGGAATAATAGAATATTCCAAAAAATGTGTTCAAGAAGCTGCAGAGCAACGAAAATCAACTAATATAGAAAATTTTTTAGAGATTAAAAATTTTGTAGACAAGCAATTGTCAGTCTATCCAGAAACGAATCTTTTCAGTATTAAATGAATATTAACAATTTGTTGTTACTAGCACTGCTTTAGTACGTTTGAACATGGATATTGCGCTTTATGTGTCTAAATACATGTTAAATGGAAAAAATATGAAATGATTTGTAATTATAGAGGTTGATTTTACAAAAGAATTGCCAGCTTTAAAGATAATGAATGTACTCACAATCTATTAAATATACCGTTCCATGGCTTATAAATTTCTTTAAAAAAAAATTTGCCATATGATAGATAAAACATCTAAAGAAGTTCATTCATATGCAATTATTTTTGCAAACACTTTAATTATTACTGAAGTACCATGCAAAACGTCAAAAAAATCACAGGAAAAAAAGAAAAATAATCGATTTATCGCTGATCAAATTCCTATTTACGAAAAAATATGCATCGATTAATTACCTTTAAAATGATGGATTGTTGTATAAAAGAAACATTCAGAAATAGGAGGAATGGAGGAACGTGCGTTGTCAAGCCAAATGTCAATCATCTATAATATTGTTGAGATTGTTAAATCGAATTTATTATATGATAGCCGAAAAAGACAAAATTGAAATATTCAAGGACTCTCTTTTATATTTGGCACATCAAGAAATCCAACATCTAAAACATCTGAACAAAATACTATTCATTCACTCACTTCCTCTAATGGAATCTTGCTGAATTAGTGGTATTTCACTTGGAATATCAAAAAAGTAATAACCACAAAAGATTTTCGATCAGCAAATGTTATTGATGGATATTTTGATACTTTATCTTTTGATGAGAATGAGTTAAATTCTTGGTTAATCGTATTATCGGTCAAGTAAATGCTAATGAATCCACTGATCAAATTGAAGTTACTACTGTATTACCCAAAAATTATTTAATAGTTTTACGGTTGAAAAAAAACAGTTATTGGATTGAAAAAGTGGGTAGAAATTTCTGAAAATATAAACAAATAGAGAAGCAAAGATTGAATCCAAATGTTCAGGAAATGAAAGAAGCCAGGTTAAAGAGATTTAATAACAAATGAGATTTGCAAAATAACTTTAGGCTTTAACGTAAGTAAATGTTTAAAAGAAGCATTACACAATCATTTATCACTTAAAAGCTTGATTTGCTAAACTTGAATGGATTTAAATGAATTCTGCACTTGCTAGCTAAATGGCTCTTGTATTTAAAAGTTTATTTTTAAAATCGGTGCCTAGAGACTCATTAAGCCCTTTTTATTTCATTCTAGATCATTGTTTAAAAAAAACAGAAATCTATACTCGAAAAGAAAATTCAAAGTTTAATAAGTTTCATGTTATGTATACTAATTGAAAAATGGTATAAATTTTTTCGTGTAAAAGATCAATTTCACAATATGTTTGAAAGCAAAAATTCTTACATGTCGCTATAAAAATAACTTATTAAAGTATATCATGAAATAGTTAGTTTCCTTGTTTTATACTTCTTGCTAATACAGTAAATTTAGATTGAAATCCTATGACAAACTTAATACAATGGGATACACAAAATAGATTATTTCGGAAATAAACAGGAGCTTAAAAATAGGATTTTTAGTTATAAACTTAGAAGAAACGAAATAGGAGTGTCTGATGACCTTATTTTGTAACTTTTATTGCCCGAAATTTTTGTAAATAAACCAAATGCGTAAAGATAAAGGTTTAGAATTAGCATTACAGCTGTTTTCATAATTTCTGGGACACCTGATAAAAAATAAGCCGAATGATTTTTCGGCCGATTCGGTTAAGTTATTGATTTCGGCATAATAGATTCAATATGAAATTTAAATATTCAATACGGAATCGATTTGCCAAACAAAAATCGGATAATTTCAGAATGATTTTTTTTTATAGGGAATATTATAAGACTACATACGCATATCTACTTTTAAAGCATCTTCGTTGGCAAATGAAAAAAAAACTTTAAAAGGCTTATTACTTCAAAAAATTGCTAAACGTTTAGGTGTTGGCAGATCTTTTACAAATCAAGTTCTCAAGCACTTAAAAGAAATGGATGTATTAAAAAACTTTTGTAATTCATTTTCGACAAATGGGGGAGTCAATAGAAAAGGGACAAATCATTTTTAGTAATTTTTTTTAATTTTTAAATTAAAATATCTCAACACTTTCTAATCAAACTTGATAAAAATTTTTTATTTTAATCTTAGAATTATGTATATAGAATTAAAATAAAATAAAAAATTAAATTTGATTAGATAGTTGTTGAAATATTTAAGTTTAAAGTTAAGAAACCTTTTACTTAGAAAAATTTTGTCCTTTTTCTATTGACTCCCCCTCAAATGTTAAAATCTTGATTTTTTAATATCTAACTTTTTTTAATATTAGCATTTATTTATGTAATACATTTATTCTAGAGTCGAATTTATATTCGGAGCTTTTTTGTATTTCTTGATAGTCTTTTTTTATAAATTTTGTACAGACTAAATACACCAAACATGTTGGGTAAGTATTCAAACAAAAATTTAATATTGAGTGTTGATATTAAATTGAAGCGAGTGTATCGAGTTTTGCGTTTGTTAATTGGGTATTAGTATAGTAGCCTGATGACATTGTTAAGTGGCGAATCATAGGGTTTTATTTATTTATATACAAAAAGATATAATTTTGGTGATAAGGCAACTCGCCAGAAGCGTGACTTTGGTGA